TTCCCAAAGAGAAGATATTTTGTTAAACGAAGTATACCTGAGTATAATCCTTAGGTATTCGGTGCCATCTGCCTCCTCACACTTAATAGAAAGGATCAGATTCCCAAGGCTGCTGGCTGTACAATAAAAATTTAAATGATCCTAGAATAGAAACCATCAAAACAGCATTAGTGGGGAGCAGCTTGCTCCTGGTGAGGGCTGCCACGTTCCTGGCCAGAGGCGAGGACTCAATTCCATGCCAACACCCTCCCACCCTCCTTGCTGGGACCAGGGTTTCATCCCTCTGCCCATGGACCGCAGCACTCTGCCCTCAGCCTTGGTCAGAGGGAGGAAGGGTGTTACAAGCAAGAGGGCCACGGCTGCAACCCACCAGCCCCTGCTCTCCTTACAAAGGGGGCAGCTGCAGAATTTGCCCTTTTTGCTCACAATTTTACAATTTCCTTTTATTCTTGGGGGCACTTTTCAACCAACCACTTGCCCCCTGCACCGGGGCACCCACCTTTCCCAGGAAATGCTTCCTGTAGGCTCTGGCCTCTCCTTTGCACTCCAGCTTGTAGCCGTAGGTGCTGGGGCTGAGGTTCTCCTCCTCCTCCTCGCAGATGCTGCTGTCGGACGAGGTCGGCGTGCCAAGGTTTTCTGGGTCTTCGATCCAGTATCCCCCAAACTGGGGCAGGATGATTAGTGGGTACGGGCTGCCCTTCTCCAGGATCTGCAGGACACACACCCATGAGGGGTTGGGCAGGACTGGGGTGCAGATGTGGGGTGAAGGGGTTCATCACCCCTTCACCCCAACAGCTCCCAGCCCTGGCATCAAGGGGACAATCCAGCCCCTCTCTGAAAGCTCTTCTCTCTGCCAGAAGAGGGAATGTGCTACTGAGGAAAAGCAGCAGCTGCAAAGATGGGGAGGAGGAACTTTGTGCAGCTTCCCTTGGAAACAGGATTCCACCAATTCCCCTGTTATCAGCAGTTTTGGAAAGGCAATTGCTGGAAGGCGTTCAGGGTGATTCAGGGCACCCACCTCATCAATGCTGGGGTATGGGATGTAGTCTTCCTGCAAAAAGGAATCAAAACACCATGTATGACCATCTATTCCCTACCAGCCACCCCTTAAGACCACATCCAACTGCTGTACTGGTCCTTCCCATCCCCACGCTCTGCACTGAGCTCCAGGCGGTATCAGAGAGCGATGCTCCTGGCGGGTGACGGGCGCAACCCTGGGGACACACACAGGGACTCCTCTGTGCCCAGGTCA